CCACTTCTCCCCTCAGCAGTGTATTTCAGTAGATCTGCCTGTTCTGCTCCCTACTCTGTCTCTGGTGAATCCTCTCACCCACCCATCACACCTCTGGCCTATACCCCAGTTCTTATATGCATAAATAAATAAAATAAATCTTTTTAAAAATAACTTGTCTTTGTAATAAAAATGCATGCTATTTTGCAAAAAGAAGAAAAGCCACACTAATATACATAAGAAAATACAATTTACATATAAACCTACTATGTGTGTGTGTGTGCTTAAAACAGAAAGAAAAAAAGCTTTTTTAATATCCTGGAATGTTGAAGACCTTTATAAGGAAGACATACCTCCTAAAGTCACAAAGGAAAACATAAATCTGACCATGTAAAAACTTTTAACTTCTCCATAGAAAAGAGGAAAAGAAAAAAGGCCAAAGAAGCTGAAATGAAAGCAATAAACTAAACAAAAATATCTGCGACATGTAAGACAAAGGGCCAATTTTCTTTATATTAGAAAGTTCTTAGATCAAGAAAAAGACTATCTGTAAGAAAAATGGCAAAGGTAATAGTTCACAGAAATCAAATACAAATCACCAAAATACAAATGAAAAGATATTCAAGCTCATTTATAACTGAAGAAATAAAATATAGAACAATAAAACAATAATACTTTTCACCTATCAAATTAACACGGATTAACTAGTGCTATTACTCAGAAAGGGTGAAGACTGAGAGAAGTGGCCATTCTCATGTATTAGGGGTAGGAATGCTAGACAACCTTGCACTTCAAAACCTGGTAAAAATTAAACTTAATATGGCTCATCAAAAAGTTAAATAAATTAAGTCATTGCCATAAAATTAAGTAAACTATAGTCATCCAAAAGAATGAAGTAATCTGTGCAGTGATGATGATGGAAAGAGATCTAATATTTCTGTAACAATTCAGAAGAAAAAATTAACAGACTTTTTTCTGGAAGAATATATAAGAAAGTGTAAATTAGAGGAAAGGGAACGTTTTATTTCTATGCTGAGTGAAATTTTTTAGTTATCTATAATTTGTAAAAAAAATCCAACACAATATTGAAAAATATTTATGCTCATGCCCTAGTTGTAAGGAAGAAAGACCAAAAGATGGTAAGAAGAAAAAAAGAGATTTAGGAGCATCAATCCAAGAGGTGAATTCAGCATAATGGTCCTTCCACCCCTTGTCTACTCTTAACTCTCTACGGAAACCCACCCATCAGGTCAGAATCAGAAAGACTATAGCAACCATAGCAAATCCTCTGATCCCTGGGATGTGGGCCCCAGTTGAGTGTGGGAATTTGAATCTAGAGCCTGCGTTGTCTATTTTGTACCAGCACAATAGTACCAATAACCCGAAACAACAAATTACTTAGCTTTTGCTCACATACATTATATAATTTTCATGTGAATATGAACACACTTAACAGTACATTTTATTCAACAAGGGGGCTCCTACAAAGCACACAGTTAATTAAGAAGAGAGCCAGAGTTAAATAAAGTAGGGGCCCTATCACCACGTCATTCCTAATCTAGTTAGCAAGGTAAGCATGCACAGACAGCCAACTACAAGGCAGGCCCAATGGTTACCTGCTCCAGTAAATGTGCAGAAAGATTAGCCACAGCTGTGGGACCAAGGGTTGCACTAAAACAATGTATTTCTCAGGATTGAAGACTTTGTAAGATTATGTAAACTTCCCCCTCTTTTCTACTACTAACCTCTTTTTCTCTACATTTATGTAAAACAGGGAAATTTCATAGTTCCCTTTCTCTTGCTGCTTAATTCATAGGTCACTAAGTATTAACACCATCTCTTCTTGTCAGAAAGCTGTGTCAGTTAATTTTAGGGATACTTTTCATTATTAAATATATTATAAATGTACCTTTAATTGAAGTTATACTTACTCAAGTTATTCTATCATACCCACCACTGCTAAAATAACTCAAAAATTTCAGAAATTAGCTTCCAAATTACATCTTTGCAACTATCTCTCATATACAGATTTTCCCTTTGCAGTGCAGATCTTTAGTCCATAAAACAATGTCATCCAGAAACAGTAGGAAAAAAATCAACTCAGAATTTCAAATCTATAAGGACACAATAACATAAGCATTAAAACAAAGGACTATCATATTTTGTTTTGTTCACCAAAAACTGGTCCAGATACAAATGGTATAGAGCTACCTATTGTCCTTTGAGTTGAGGTTGGAAGAGCAATAGCTCTAAGAACTTAAACCTAAAAGTTTAAATTTTTTTTTGGCATTAAATATTTGTGACATCACAAATATTTCTTTGATCAAAATTTTATTTGTTCAGGCCCTCCCTGGTGGCTCAGCGGGTTAAAGCACAGCACTGAGAAGCTGAGGCCACTTCCGCATGAGTTCGATTCCCGCCTGCCCCGGAGGTGACCACATGGCATGGCAGACCTCTCCTGACCCACCCACTGCTCCCCTCAGCAGTGTACTTCGTCCATCTGCCTGTTCTGCTCCCTGCTCTGTCTCTGGTGAATCCTCTCACCCTCCGCATCTCTGGCCTGCATCCCAGTTCTGTATGAATAAATAAATAAGTCTTTAAAATTTTTTTTATTTGTTCAAAAGCTGTTTCATCACATCCACAAACCCATTAACCCATATAATCAAATAAGCTGCACTGAGCACACTTCATAAGCCTCACTCAACACATTTGGTTAGAAATATCCAAAGTTTTACAGTTAAAAAAAAACTGAATCTGTGCTCCACCATTTCGTAGCTGACTACCTTTGGCAAATGTTTCATATTTCTGAGCCTCAGTTTGCTTTCAGGTATAATTTTTCCAACTTACATAGCTGGAAAGATTAGTAATAATCTAGCTACTATCAATTTACAGAAGTGGCCACCAATAAAAGATAGTAAAACAACTGATGTTACTGTTATGAACCCTAACTTTGGACTCCAGTAGGCACAGGTAGATAGAACACTTTGGGGACGCTGAACACAAGAAGTAGAACATACAACATGAGCTTCTTTTTTGCCACATTTAAGAACAATTGTAACATGAGCTTTCAAAAATCATGACAACTCTCTGAACAAGTCTCGTGACTGAGAATATGTGGATGTTCTGGTGTCTACTCAAGAAATTCCACTTTGCCATATATTAGTTGTAAGACTTTCAATAAGTTGCTTAGAGGAGATAGCCTTTCTTCAACTAAATAAATCTAATAAAGGGCCCTGAAAATACTTCATGGGCATCTCATGATGGGTAAACTAAATGGCATAACCATGGAGTGCTCTTAGCACAGCATGTGGCAACAGCAAGTATTCCAAAGATTTAACTAACAGACTATGCATGAAAATCTTAGTACCCCAAGGAGTCACCACAAAGGGTGTGAATAGAGTTTGGTTCACTAACATATATTTCAAACGTACTATTTATTCTTCAGTGGGCATATACAATTCAATGTGGTTAGAAGGTCAATTATTTTAAAAGTTTGACTTAGAGTAGCCTTGAAAACATGTAATGATTGTTGAAACTATTCAAACAGTAGAGAAATACATAAAATAAAAATAGCTCATTCAGCCTCCTCTTCCCTCATTCCAGTCCCAAGTCCACTTTCAGACAAAACCACTTTAGTGAACACTCTTCTGATTCTTGCCACTCAACAAATACATAAACTTGTGTCCTCTCTAGTGGTGCAAGGAGTTAAAGCTGTCCTCAGCCACTGCAACACGAGTTCAATTCCTGACCAGGGAGGTGACCCACATGGCACAACAGACCTCTCCTGTCTCACTCCCTGCTCCCCTCAGCAGTTTATTTTAGTCAATCTGCCTGTTCTGTTCCCCACTCTGTCTCCGGTGAATTCTCTTCCCCCACCGTGTACCCAGCTCTTGTATGCATAAATAATAGATCTTTAAAAAAAGATACATAAACTTGAGGAGAAGAGGGATTAAATATTTTACAAAAATAGAATCAGAATACAGATTGTTTATTTAATAATAGATGGTGAATATCTTTCCTAACTCATTCTTCTTAGGCACTGCTTAGTGCTTCAGACTATGGGAAATCATTTATTAATCCATTATTCTAGGAATTTAGCTTACATCTAAATATTTGCTATTAAAAATAATTCCACAATAAGTACCTTATCTGTGGATCATTCAACATATGTGCAGATATTTCTGTTCGACAGCTTCCTAAGGTGGAAAGTTTTGCATATTTTACATTTTGCTAAGTATTGTCAAATTGTCCTACAGCAAGAAAGTAAACATTAAGAGAGAACACTGTACTCTGTTATTAAACATCTTCTTTAAAAAAATCAAGTAAAAAGTATACTATTATAACATACATTTTGTACATTGAAAAGTGGCCTTCATCTTCAAGCAATGTGTACTAAGTTCCTACTTGTAGCATAGAGTCTCGTGCTAAAGGACTAAACTCTCATCTAAAGGATACTTAGACCCTGCCCTCTCCTGCACTGACCTGGTTTACATCAAACCCAGCTCTCTGGTACACCCTGTCCTCCCCAAGCCAACTGGCTTGTGGGGAAAGGGAAGGATTCCATATCCAAAGTGTTGCTCACATCGTCTAGTAGCTATGACAACCCCCTCGAAAAAAGAATTATTTCACCTAATGTTCATTTAAAAGCTCTACTCTGTTGCTGTTTTAAAGCAACAATGGGTTAAAATCTCTTAATCAATAATCATTGGCCTACAGGTAGTTTACACGTTTCATTTTGTCCTGTAATATTATTACAGTGAGGAGCAAGAGCAGATAAAGGTCATGTTGGTAATTAAAGCTATATTGTAGAAATATGTACACCCAAGATATGATTAAATAAGAAAATATTACTCAGTTTAGTATCATCATTAAATTTGCATTAATTTATAAATATTTAAATATGCCACATGATGATCATAAATAATCTGTTTTTGTCAGTTTCTAAAGTAATACAACCCATAAACCCTTTGAAAAATTACTGCAGAGAGAAATAGTCAAGTAAGTATACAAGCCAGACTTACATTCAAATGCTGTGGTTGTTGCTTCAGGCAGAACCTGGCCTATCACATCCTAAACAAAGAAAGAATAAAGAAACACAATTAGCCATCTTCTTTATTGCTAACATGTGGCAAATCCTAGAGGAAATATGAGAACCTGGAAAAGATTTTTGAAATGTTGGTATAAACTATAAAAACATTAGCTCATAATCATACTTAGCCCAGCAATGTAAATCCAGAATTTAAATCTCTTAACTTCTGGGGTGCGGTGGGGGTTGCAGTGGGATGTAATCTTTACAAATCTTTTCTTCTCCATATTAAAAACACAGTTTTCCATTCTTGGCTCAAAGGTGTATCTCAATACGCTGCTGTGTATTTACAAAAAAAAAAAAACAAAAAAAACTCCCTTCCATCGGAGACTGTGGAATGTCTCCCACTATCGTAGAAAGATTGAGGGGAGGTTCGGGAGTCAGACCAGTCTGGACGTGAATCTCCTCACTATGTATCAGTAGCTGTGTGACTGGGAACAAATTCCTTAGCCTCCCTAAGCATCAGTCCCAGTACCCCCAATATGAGTCTAAGAATACTTAAAGAGGTAGAGATAATGTAAAAATTAAACAATGCAGTAACATAAACTAGCCCAGTATACGGCAGACCTTTGACAAATGTAGTTTATGGCATGTAGTCTTGTCTTGCACTCACGTTGGCAGAATTCAAAACCCAAGTTTTCCCTAAAATTATATAAATCAATGCTACATTTAATACAAATAATTCCTATCAATGTATAGTTTCAAATAACTAAAAACATTTAATGATACCAAAGTAAAGTTGATCTAGCCTACAAAAAAATATCTACAATGTGTATATAATCTGATACCCCATGTTGAAATGACCTACAAAGTTGCCACGCTTGAAAATCAGTCTCCAGAGATAGCTTAAAGAGGCTCAGACCACCTTCAAGTAGTGTTCTGGGAAAGGTGGCCCTCCAACCTGTCCAGTCCAATGCAAATCCAATCTCTGGGCATTCTGCCACAATGTTGCTCCTGGGCTGTGCCAAAACTGGCACCAGGCAGCAGGCTGACAGAGCCGCCTGCAGTATTTCTCAGCAGGGCGCCCTCAGCCCTTCCAAGCAGGGCACTTAGCAAGTGGGGTTGCAACTTCCTTCTAAAGACAGTTCTTGAGAAGCTTTTGCTGCAGTGGCAATTTGCATAATAGCCTTGTCTCTACAGGTTTTTTTTTTTCCTTCAAAAATAAATCTGTGCATATAAATTTGATCAAAGGGAACTTTCTAAGGCAGGCTTCACTCATTACAGCCAAAGGAAATTATTTTTTCCTTCTGATGCTAGTCTTTTCAAATGAAGTATCAACTTTTGTGGAAGTATTTGTAAAAGATTTTAGTGCTAAAAAATTTCTTTCTACACAATTTTAACTTAAAGTATTTATTGACAGGCAAATGAAAACTGTAGCTAGCAGGAGTATAGAATAAAACTATGCAGGTACCTAGTGCAACATGTGAAACCAGAGACCAGAGCTAGGACTGGACCTTGGTTCTACCACCGAGTGACTGAATCCTTCTGTGCCTCAGATAGTGCTATGCCACCACATACCACTAAATGAGTTCAGATTTGTAAGGTGCTTAAAAGAGTGTCTAGCATATGGTAAATGTTATAGTAATGTCTATTAAATGAAAGAAGTCACTGGGGCCCTCCCTGGTGGTGCAGCAGGTTAAAGCACAGCACTAAGAAGCTTAAGCCACTTCCACATGAGTTCGATCCCCGCCTGCTCAGGAGGTGACCACTTGGCATGGCAGACCTCTCCTGACCCGACTGCTGCTCCCCTCAGCAGTGTGCTTCGTCGATCTGCCTGTTCTGCTCCCCACTCTGTCTCTGGTGAATCCTCTCACCCTCCGCATCTCTGGCCTGTACCCCAGTTCTGTATGAACAAATAAATAAATCTAAAAAAAAAAAAATGAAAGAAGTCATTGATAACTGAACAATACAAAGCTTACCTCATAATGAAACCTTAAATTTCAACCTGACAATCAGTGCAGAATAGTCATTTGCTCACTTATTTTGACCTTTCACAGCATTTCCTGAGGACTTTTTCTAAGCTTGTGTTGGTTTTTGAAAATTGGGAAAAGCCCTCTGCCCCCCACTCAAACCTCCAAATCTAGCTTCTCAGTGGTGACTTCCAGATTCCCAATCTGAGTGCACCTCTCAAGGTGCACTCCACATACAGTATTAGCAAATCATTTAGGATCCTTCCTACTTATGCATAACAGACTCCATCAAACAGCAAATTTCTAATAACTAGCTAGAAGCCCTGCTGGGCAGCAATGGCATCCTCTGCCTATCAACATAAACAAGGAGTCAACAAACATTACATTGCATGTGGGGAAAATGAGGAAGAAAAAAACAAACTTACTTGAGAGAATTATAAAAATAACGTGAACATGACCAAGCATCTTGCTGTGTAGCTATCATGATGACAAAGGGGTAAAAAGTTTGAAAATGAGTCAGTATCACCTGGTCATTTCTAAGTAGGGTACATTTAATAATTTTAGGCCTGGCCTTCCCTGGTGCACAGTGGGTAAGAACGCAGTACTGCAAGCTGGCAGCAGACACTTCAGTGAGAGTTCAATCCCCCACCCTGGAGGTGATCTGCATGGCAAAGCAGACCTCTCCTGACCCACCCGCTGCTCCCCTCAGCAGTGTACTTCATCAGTCTGCCTGTTCTGCTCCCCACTCTGTCTCTGGTGACTCCTCTCATGGTCCCTGCACCTCTGGCTTGTACCCAAACTCTGTATGCACAAATACATAAATCTTTTTTAAAAAATAAAATAATTTTAGGCCTGCTTTCCAGTTACATTTTAAGTGATATGTTTCAGAGTGACCTGTCTTATTCTCAACATAACGTTTCACCTAACCTAAAGGTTTCAAAGGGAATCTCAAGTTTACATATCTTGATGGTGATCATGTCTCAGTCTTCTCCTTCCTTTCCATAAACCAAATATCTGAAAGACCAAAAATATAACTAACCATCTACAATATGCCAGAAGCATAAAGATGTCAAAGTGATAGGCTAGAGAAGAAAAAGATTTAAGAAGATTATAATCTGTTCACAGCAATAAAAGACTAGTAAATACAGAGCATTTACAGTGTGATAAGAGTCCAAAAAAGAAAAAAGGAAAGAAAAGAAAAAGACATAGCTAATATTGTTTGTTAACTCAGGAGGCAAGAAAAATTACAGGCTCAGTATAGACAAAAATTTCACAGATGAGGAGAAATCAGAGCTGGTTCTTGGGATATAGGATTCAAACAGCAAGAAGAAAAAGAAAAGGCCTACTTCACATTGCAGCCTATTTCTGACTATTTAGATGAAGGACACAGGCACAGAGAAGTCCAGTGAGTTGCCCAGTCAGCCAGGTATTTGATGAAACTATGACTGGAGCACTCAACACTAAGTCTGATCCAAAACTCTCTCAGTTATGGTTGACTGTGACTGCTCTGGCTTCTGTGTCAGTCGTCAGTAACTAACCGTGTGAATTTAGCACTTCCATTTTCCCAGGTCCATGTCTCCTCATCTGAAAACTGAGAGGAGGAGAGTTATATCAGAGGAAGAAGATGCTTCCAAATACAACTGGCATTAAATTGTAAGGGTCCAAGCTGGACATGCTGATGTCTCTGTTAGGGTTTTGCCTATTTTCTGATGAAAAGATGAGGTGGACTGGAGAAGAAACTGCAAGAGTCCTCCAGGATCTAGGCTTGCACTCTGCATAACTTGCTACAAAGACAGGAAAGCATGGTAGCCTTCCTGACAGAAGGTGCTCCCCCGTGGCCTACCTGATCATGCTGTTATGAGGACACACAATATGCTGAGGTCTAGATAGGTGGGCAGTTTGCAACTTCTAAGCCAGTCAAGATACAGCTGAGATGCCTGGGAAGCAGAAGATCCACATGCTCGCCCTTATGCTATAACCACAGCAACATGGATAGAGCACGGACTCCCAGCCAGACTGTTCTCATGCTTTCCCTTTATCAATTCTGCTTTCCCTATATCAATTCTAGTAGGTCTCAGAACTCCATGAGGTAGACACTATATTTCCTCCCTTCCCTCTGATACTCCTCCCCCACTTTTTTTCCCCAGACCAAGAAACTGAAACACAGAAGTTGCGCATGTGAGTCTAGTAAGGCTTGCAATGTAAACTCAGGCAGGCAGCTCCAGAGTCTGTTTTCAACATTGTGCCATTTTACTTAAAACAATACCTATGTTGGCCCTCCCTGGCGGCGCAGCAGGTTAAAGCACTGCACTGAGAAGCTTAAGCCACTTCAGCATGAGTTCAATTTCTGC